TAAGACTTGAGGTTCTCACAGCGGTGAGTATGAAGATTTCTGTCTTCTGGGTTGTTGCGCTGTGTAGTCTGGTCGATGTTAACCAACGTTTCAGAGGTCATACTGCCTCCGTCATCAGGGCGATGAGTCATTGCTCTGATAATGGAGGAAACAACCATCTCTTAAATGTCGTTCATCGCCCTGATGACGGAGGCAGTATGACCTCTGAAACGTTGGTTAACATCGACCAGACTACACAGCGCAATAACCCAGAAGACAGAAATCTTCATCACTAGAAGTCTCAGTAAAGGCACATTCTTTTAAACACCTTGACATATACCTTGAACCTGCTTACTCAAAACACCTATCCAAAATTAATTCAAAGATATCACAACTAACCCCTCGTGTTGGGATATCAAAGAAGCAGATCATTAGTCTCTTAATTTTCATGCAAATTACTTGTGGATCACACACATATAGCTTAATAATTAGACATTAACAAGAATATGGCATAGCAGGCAGCCATTTAAAATTAAAACAAGGAGTTAATACCTTAAACATATCACAAAAATGTCTACATAGGTACAATATTTGAGGTTTCCATGGTAACACTGTGATTCCCTCCCCTTCCCTGAGTCTCCCTATTGGTGCAGACTATTCTGTCCTCATTCCTGAACTTTAAACAGCCCAAACTCCCCAGCATGCCCTTCCTCTGACTCCAGTACCGCTACTTAAGCCCTGAAGATGGAGAAAGCATGTTTCTCCAGAATCTACCTATTTATCGACACAGTAAAGGAACCTAGAGAAATACTGTTATCTTTACCTAACCTGAAATCTCAAGGTCAATAATATTATGTTCACGAGAAGATAGCTTACCTTCCCTTCAGTAATATTGAAGAGACGCATCCTTTCATACTCCTGAAGAGTTGATAACACCCTGTCTTCCCCCTGGTACACTTCTACATAAGGTCGACAACCATCCCTGAAAGAGATTTATTATTTATATGTTTTGATTACAGCAGTAACTATCAACATCTTTCTGTGAATGGTGGACTTGCACTGAAAGTTTCTTGGAGTCTATGAAGGGAGTAATATTTGACTCTTAATCCTCTATAGATAACTTTTTGATACACTGAGTAAGTGCACCACTAACAAAAGGCATTAGTAAAAGAAGTAAATGCCTTTTTAAAGAATTCAAAGAACTCAGCACCTCAACATGACACTTCAAGGATGCTACAGCCCTGAAGTGAGGGCAATGTTAAAATGCCTGTCGTGTTTGAAAATTTAAATTATACATTCTTTGAAAGTGTCATATTTTACCATCGAACTATGACACGCTGAGCTATCTGTGCAAGCTCAGAGTACAAAACGATAGTTAGGATGTACAAGAAGACTGAAAAGGCATAATCCATGCCACAACACATACTTTCCACATGCAATCTTTGAACCTTTGTATTCTGAATGCTGCTAGCTGAAATAGAAAATCATTGTAAATTACATACAGATCTACTACAAAAACATCCTTATACGTACTGTCCCCATAAGCACTGTAACAGATCACAGACAATATAAAAATATTGGCATATGTTTTGAATACAAGGTAAAATTTATTCATAAACTCTCACTTATCCTATCTTTAAGTAGTTTCCGTTATTACACTTAAAATAACGTATGTTTCAAATTTATTTTTTCTTTCCCACAGATTAATTTGCTTATCAGAAACTGATTTTTGAGAGAACAGCGAAGTTTCAAATACGGGGCCTGGGCCTTAACTTTGCTTCCATTACAAACTATTTAATATATGCAATATATATTATACATGTGTCAGGATTTCTCTTAACCTGTTAACTTTAGAGAAAAAGTAATCACACTTTAAAAATTTTATTTGTAGCTTTACATATCAAGTTTTCTTTATGTTGTCTCTCAAGTTAATGTTATTCTATAATATTCTAAAACAATGAATTTAGCTCTCTGCTAGTGCACTGGATCTACATGCAGACAGCTGTCATCGAATCTTGGAAAAGACAAATTTTTATTGTTTCGTGCAGCCACTGTGTTGTTCTAAACTGAACAAAGAATTACTGTAATGAAAAGTTGTATATTTTTTAAAGATCTGCTACTACACATCATTTCAACATTATATATTAAGTGATGTTACTGTTGCTTATACTTCACAAGTTTGTGCATGTCATGTTAGTATTACTAACTGCAGGATACTAAAAAGTACAGGCCTGGGGCAGCCTCCAATGGCATAATGTCTGTACCAAATCTCCTCAAAATCCATCCAATGGTTCTCTAGCTGAAACATGTGGACAGATGGACAGACAGACATGCACATTCACATTGCTGAAAGAATAGATAACAATTAAGAAAGGATGATCGCTGACAAAAAAGGATTTGTATCTGAGATTTCAGGTACTCACAGCAGTGAGCATAATGATGGCTGCTTTCTGGGTTGTTATGCCATGTAGTATGGCAGACATATTTACCCACGCTTGAGAGGTGCTTGCTGCCTCCGTCATCAGGGCAATGAGTCATTGCTCTGATAATGGAGGAAACAACCATCTCTTAAATGTCGTTCATCTTCTACCGGACTACGTGGCACAACAACACAGACGTGTTTCTGGGTGAATACATGCTCAATATGGTATGATGTCTGGATAAGAACAGTTTATAGACGTCTACTTTCCTTCTAAAAAAATACTGCTATGTTTACTAATACAGGCACTGTGTGGACGTTAAGGAAGCAATACTCAGAATATTGAGCACAAAAAGTTATGATTCAGGAACAATGATGAAGAGTATGAACTACTGTTCAAATACAATTGTATTTTGGAGTGTGATTAGTTCATAGCTGACAAGATCATCAAATCATCCTTTCAGGGCAACTTAAAAATTTCACAGCTCATTTGTGACACTTGTTCCATTTGTCAAAAAAACAAAAGATGTTCATGATTATTAGGCACAAAATCCAAGTCTTGCAGTCTTTGTGACCCTGAATGCACAAATGTGTGGACCAGGGCACTGAAAAAGGGGGCAGAGGAGACATAGAAGGAAGAAAATGATAAGATAGAGGAGATAAGAAAAAAAATTATGAGGTTCTCGCGGTTGTCGGACGGCAGTCTTCTGGATTGTGACACCATGTTGTCTGCATGTGATCTCAAACATTTTGTTGGAAAATGCTGCCTCCATATTCAGAGTAAAGTAATCTGAAGATGGAGACAGCACATTTTTACAGAAAGCTGTAACCACCTATAACACCACAATGTCACGACCAAGAACACAATTTGAAATATAGTTCCTTATGCACTGTTCAGAAAATAACACAAAACTGGTTTGCTGGGTCTAATTTATGCAGTTTTGAAATGTGTTAAAATGCTGCGATCAGCTTGCGTGAACTACTTCAGAACTTCATTTGATTGTTGCATTTTTAAGACAATCTCACCTGACTTTAGTGAAGAGCGGCACTGGTTGGAGGCTTACTGAGATCAGTGTGACAGCTTTGGAATGTGGCTCTAGCGACGGGCCTCGAAGCACATGGCTCATGTAATACAGGTACCTGCAACATATTCATCGCCCTGATGACGGAGGCAGTATGACTTCTGAAATGTTGGTTAACATCTACCAGACTACACAGCGCAACAACCCAGAAGACAGAAATCTTCATACTCTGATGACGGAGGCAGTAAGACCTCTGAAACGTTGGTGAACATCGACCAGACTACACAGCGCAACAACCCAGAAGACGGAAATCTTCATACTCATCACCCTGATGACAGAGGCAGTATGACGTCTGAAACGTTGGTAAACATCGACCAGACTACACAGCGCAACAACCCAGAAGACAGAAATCTTCATACTCACCGCTGTGAAAACCTCAAATCTTACATACTTATTACTTATTTATATAATAATTTTGTTGATAATTCTGAATTTAAGTCATGTTCATATATTTTGTATATCTATATTTACTCCTACACCAGTTTCTCGACCGGCCTGAAGACAAATTTCTGTGATATTCTTTATGGCACTTATATTCCCACCAAGCAAGTCAACATCAACACAAACTAAGAATACCATGTGAAATAATTTGATGTATTAACGATAAGCAATGAATCACTGTATCTGGATGGGGGAACGTATGCGCAAAACATATGCATAACACACATTGTGCCTCCAGCAGCCACATTTATAGGCTGACAGTGTAAAATGTACCACTGTGCAGTACCTGCACAAGCATATCAACTCAAACCTAACCGAACTTAACCTCCTAACCTCAAACCAGTAGCACCCTCTATCCACACATTGTAGTAATGACACAGTCCTCATACAACACTTGGAAACGTGAATGCAACTAAAATCCTGACCTTATGTTTAGCAACAAAGTAGTTTTAAACACTTGTGTGCGAAAAAGAATACATAAAAGTATGATGTCATCAACTGTCACTACTGGCCATCTACCAAAGGAGACAGCATTTACAAAAATTACTATATTATACATTACATCAATTTTGTACGAAGTCTTCGAAGATCAAATAGATGGTTGCCAACCCCACCTCCAGATCCCAAACACACTTTAAGAAGAACATCTTAAAAAAACTCTGAAAGTAATAAACATGCCTGAAAGATTTGAAGACTGGAATGCAGATGAATTTCAAGGGAATACATCAACTTTATATTTATACTTTTTACATTCAACAGCCTGTTATAGGAGATACAATTATCAGACTTGAACACAGAATCATTTTTAACAAACTTACACTGAAAATGATATTCATAATGCATTGTGACATACTAAAAATCCCTCACCTCATTTGAGAAGGGTGCAGTCCTGGAGGCATACGCTTAACTGCAAACATCTGTGCTGCATCTTCAGGCGCGCTAAACATGTTTACGAACATCAGAAATGCACAAACGAGCATTGCAGACGCAGCTTTTCCATCCTTCATAAAAGAAAATAGGAAGAAGTTAACACCTCTTACCGTGTCTACAGATACGTGACTAATCTCTGTCAACTACACAACAGCAGAAAACGGGGATGTTTAAGAAAAATAAATTTCCTGGAGGATTCCTTGAGCAGTTTGAGGACAAAAGTGAAAAAAGTTTGGGAAGCACTGATCTATGCAAAACAATTCTTCTTCACATTTATCACTTGTGTTCTACATAAAAATGATACATCTGATAACAGAATGAGCCCTTGGTTATTTATTTTTTCCAGAATTAGTTACAGTTGTGTAAATCTCCACTGTAGCAAAACAACTGACATATTATTACACCTGAAAGCACAGAGTTCAGGTTTATGTGTAAAGAATAAAACTGAACAGAAAAATCAGTCATGTTCACTCAGAAATTTTTCATTCTGTGAATTTTAAATGTCAATGTACGAGAGTAAATGATGAATATCAGATGCCTACAGAATGAATACTAAATGATGTTCAGTGTAGAAAGTAAGTTAAAAAGTGAACAAACTATAATTTATTCTTCTAGCACTGTTTGTGACTTACATGGGTCAAAGTTACAATTTATAGAAACAAATTCCAACAAAACAGTTGTGTTAAAAGTACATTTTTCTGTGTACCTACCATGCAGTGTACGATGCAGACGTTCTTTGGATCTTGTTCCAAGAAGTTATACATGTCATTACAAAGAGTGTAGAGAGTGTGAAGAGAGGGGGCATGTCTTACTACATTCCCTGCAGAAACACCCTGGGCTATACACCATCCACAATCCACCACTCTTCCACTACCCAGCCTTCCGGACGCATGAGACCGACCAGATACATTGTAGATGGCGTAACGACCTCCTGAAACACAGAAAAAGAAACATTCATTCAAAATAAATGCCAACTTTCTATATTTCATTTCTATCATCCTTCCAAATACAGCAATTAATTCTGCTCTGGTGCACAGGAATATACATTGAGTCACATGCTCCCTTGTACCTCATAAATAACCTCCAACTGTGGGGATCACAAGCGGACATCATGATACCAGAAACCCATCGCCCTTTACAAAATAGGTTTTACTATGAAGAATGCCATATACCTGGATGCCGGGATTCAAGAAATGCACGAACATCATCAGCATGATTACTGCGATACGCAGATTCAAGTCCCTCTGCAGGAAATGGCATCACAGCAAGGCGAGATGTAATATAACTAATGTCGAGATCAGATCTTGCAATGCTCCTGGAAAAATAAAGGAAGTAAGAATGTGTTGATCTTCACTTGATAAATTAATGCTACATAGCCCGAGCTACCGACAGTATCATTAAATAAACCACACACACACACAAACACACAGTACACCATTCTCTATAACATACTACACTTTATAATATCCACCAAGAAACGTAAAACATGAATTTTAGACAATCTACCTGTGGAATCACGGCTCCATTCAGTGGCAGTTCATTTTGAGGGTTGTAAATTTAATGAATATCTGCAGGAAATACTCATATTATTCACACTGTATATACAGAGTGTCCCCAAAAAGATACACTTATCCCCAGCAGTGTGAATAGTAGTAATAATTATATCAATTCTTTATGAATTTGTATTTCTGCATAGTTTTCACTTAACACCTTTCAGGCTTATGCAGACAGCAATGGATACAGACATTGACACAAATGCTAACAAATTGGAAAAGTCATCAACTGTAACAGACTGTAGACCTCTCCCCTTCGGGGGGGGGGGGGGGGGGGGGGGGAAAAGAAAGAAAGAATACTAAGAAAACCTATCATGACAGTAAGACCATGGACACAATGAATGTAAGACAGACGCATATTTAGAGATTACTCAGTGATCACAACAGCAGTCAAAGTTCATTCAGACAATACTTACTGTTGTACTGTTTGCATAACTTTTCCTGTAGTGTCTTTCAGGTTCTTCAAAAAATTTCCTGCTCCACCCCTAAGAGATGAAAATAATCCTCCACCACCACCACTGCCACTACCAGCCTGAGATGTTAACTGCATGTTCTGTTGAGATCTAGGCTGGTTTTGTGGGGCTATCTGCTGTTGAGATCGTGGTGGAGACTGGTGGACGGGTGACGGTCTAGGTGGTAAGGGGGATGGTCGGGATGGAGGCTGAGACGGTCTGCTGGGAGGGTCTGGATGGACATGCGGGATTGAGGGTGGCCTAGCAGGCGCTGGTCGTAGAGGTGGATGCTGTGTGACATCAGAAGAATTCATGTTATTGCTTGTCGCTGTCGGCTCGTTTACAGTGTGTACTGCAATAAAAAAAAATACATAAAATGGACATCTTGATCACAATACTTCTCTGCATGTAGTACTTCACTAGTGTCTGAACTGTCCTGTAAATGGGCCTTAAGAGATACTGCTTCTGAACATTAGCTTACTATTATTACCATAAAAAGAAACAACTTCCCATCTCCAGCAATGACTGACTTGAAATAGTACAAATGGGAATAATTTAGAAATAAGGACTATACATTACTCACAAACATCCCACCACAAATCACAGCTTCAGTGATAAACCTTGACTTCTATGGTGTCAAGAATTGAAGAACCATCTGCAAAGAATAATGGGTACAAGAAGCCCACCAGAATCTCATCTACAAACCTGGGCTAGAAGAGGAATCAAGACGTTTGCCTTCGAGGACCAGAGGTTCTTTTAAACTTATATTTTTACTTTCGGCAACAGCTGCCAGTCTTTCTAGTATATCAGCAACTGTCATGCGCTGAAGTGGATTAACTTGTAAGCATCCACCTGCAGCAAATAACATGATAATAAATTTTATGATACAAAATAAAAGTACATATTTAAATGCATACATAAACTAATGTAAAACTAAGAATCAACTGAAACTCCATAACTGCACATGATCCTGAGCCAGTTCTGTCTTCCATCCTCACAACTCACTGTCCTAAGAACTGTCTTAATGTTATCTTCCTACATTCATCTCAGTCTTCCAAGTGGCAATTTTACCAAAGGTTTTGCTGCCAAAATTTTGTACATGTTCCTTATTTCCCAAAATCCCAGGTACATGTCCAGACCACTACAGCCTCACAAATATCACAGATGGAGACATTCACATGAAATTAGATACTGACTACAAAATAGCAGTCACTGGCGAGTTCCTCGTATGCAAAAGCAAAGTGGTACAAGATATGTTTTCTTCATATTTAAATGAAAGGTGGCTACGTTATGTGGTGTCATGTGAAATGTGTCAGTTAAAGGCAATAGAACTCAAAAGAAACTGGAATTCAGAGTTTTAATGCAAGTTGAGTTGGTTACAGAAATGTTTTAAATCAGACAATTTCTGTTTAAGCTGGCAAATAAATAACACATAAAGGTTTTTTAATGTGCACAAAGAAAAATGTTAACAGTTGTGATAGTTTGGGACACTGACAACATAAATTCAGACAGCAGTGACGCACGCCAATAACTGTACATGTGGTACTGCATATTTTATTAAATTTTGGTGTTACAGAGCTTCTATTGGTGACTGTACCTGCATGGCAAGCCACATAACTCTCATGTATTATTTTTTGGTCTATAATTTACCCTCAAAATATAAATTTTTCTTAAAAATCTTGTGATTTACACTTCATATATACTTACGTATCACGTCATGATAGCAGGAGTATTTCAAATCCCCAGGTGGAATTGTGAAATTGCCATTTAATATCCTCAACTTGGCTGAGTCTTCAAACGGATGTTTCATGTAGCACAGTGTATACAAGATACAGCCCAATGCCCATACATCTGATGCTGTACTTATTGCATGGTTACTCCACGTGTCCACCATTTCTGGAGCTCGATACATTGGAGTCGTATACTTTGCCATCTGGAGGAACGACACCAAGTACAAACACCAGCTTATATCTTACGGTGGATATAAAGTTAAACAGGCCACAAATTCACACTAAAATCAATGTTTCATCACATTTACAACACAGAGATCACAAACTTCTTGAGAGCAGTCCTTCTTGATAAAGCGAAAGTCACTCAACAAGGAGATTCCCCACCTTTTATGGAATTGAAGTGTTAATAACCATACTCCACTAAACCCCACCACAGGCCAATAAATAAAGTCCACATGCTCACACCTAATTTCCTTAAAACCCATTTTAATATTATTCTCTGATATATGTGGAAGTCTACCAACCCTTCAAGTATTCTGACTAAAATTTAATTTGAATTTAAAGTGTCTTCTATTCAAGTTACATAACCCACCCTCCTCATCCTCCTTGATTTTAACACCCTAGTATTTGTTTATTTATAGTTTATGTAATGACATTTTTTCAGTAGCTCAGACTATACAACATCAAATGAGAGGTTGATAGTGAATAATGAATTGGAAGTGGTTGTGGCCTAATTTATGGCACTATCCCAGCATTTGTGTGGAGGGACTGAATAAAACCACGGCCCCCCATAAGGATAGCACGTCTCCAGGTTGAGATTTGAACCCGAGACCTCCAGAATATGAAGCAGGAGTGTTAACCGCTCGACCATGACGTTCGGTAACACCCCAATAATATTTGGTGAGGAGTACAAATTATGGAGCTCCTCTGTACACAGTTTTCTTCAGTCTCCCATCACTTCATCCCTCTTAGATCTAAATATTCTCCTCAATTTCCTACTTTCAATTAAGCTCAATGTATATTCTATCAGAGTGCGAGGCCAAGCTATGCACCCATACAAAACAGCAGGTAAAATTAGAGTTTTGTATATTTTATCATTTTGTCTGAAGACAGAAAAACAAAAGGTTCTAAACTAGTAAAACGCAGTATCTCGGAATAAGCTACGTAGCAACGTACACCTACCTCTTCTTCTAACAATGCCCTTTGGTTGGCAGACCAAGCTGGGTCAGGCTGAAAACACTGTGCTGTAGCACTACCAAAGTCACACAACTTCATACTGCCATCCGTTCCCAGTAGCAGGTTTTCAATCTAATATATTAAACAACAGAGCAAAAAGATATCACTGACAATAACGTATGCATTGCAGTCAAATTTCCTTAAAACATACCTCTAACGTTATTCTACTTTATAGTTCCCAAACCAAAACCCATGCAAGAATCTTAATTTGTTCATTATATATTGTATATTTGTCATACTTAAATAGGATATATGAAAATCATAACATTTTTTTTTTTGCATTCCATGTACAAGCAGTTCTATAATATACACGCTCCACAAAAACACATCACTCCACCTGAAATATGTGACTATAACGGCATGTTTTGCATTTCACAGTTACCACCACCTGCACCTCCAAACCAACTGGTCTGGCTGTGTCTAGGTAAAATCTGGAATTCTTTGATAGCAATCTGTATGTCTGCACATAGTCAAATGTTAGCTGCTTTGTTGCTGCTAAAGGGCAGAAAATCGACAAATTAGCAAACGACTGCCACAAATCTGCAAATCATCTACATTTTGAAATCAGTACCTTCAGGTCTCTGTGAATTATAGGTGGTTCTTGACTGTGCATGTGCTGGATGGCTCTACAAGTCTGCCAGAAAATTCTACATATTACATCTACAGGCAGGGGAGAACTGCAGTTTGTCAAGACATCAACTAAACTTCCACCTAGAAACAAACAAACACATTAACACTCCTCAAACTTTTGTTTGGAATAAGAAAACACACATATACAGCACATGCCCAGGTTTTAGCCATAAGCCGACTTCTGCTGATTCCCTTATTGTGTTTAAAGTATCTCCAAAGATGAGCTAGGAGTACTGACATCACAGAAGAGCTGTTGTCACATCCTCCTTCTCTGTCAGCCTTCAGAAAACACATCAGTGGTAAAAAAACTATCATATACCAAGAGAAATGATAAGACAGCTTCAAAAAATCTGCAGTTTAACAAGCAACAGAATGACCCAGAGAAAGAACTACAATAATTTAGGGGCCTGCAGGACCACACGTCAAAAGATAATATTAAAATAGGTTATTAGTACTACATAATAGCATTAACTTACTGCGGCCTCAGGATATTATCACAGTGCACTGTGGAAAACATATGGAACCCCATAACAAGACAAACAATTCATAACATGGAAACCAAGGTAACATACAAACCAGAATAGTCAACAGCATCCCTGCACCCAGATGATAACATCTCAAGTTATACATCAAGGACAGCTTTAAGTAAACTTCAAAACACACACCAATTTGAAGACAGGTTACAGCAAACATCGCACGTTATGTCATATGCACTCCTGCACAGAGACACATCAACGCGATGGCCCCTACAGCTCTACAACAGCATCGCGATGCAGCTGAACCCAACTGACTGAATCAAAGACAAGCAACGCCCAGTGGCTTAACACAACCAGCACAACTCAGCTTCAGGTCAATAATTATCCCTAAATTGGCTTCAGGCCCTTAACAGCTTCCCCAGCTGCCACAAAACTCCGACTAACCATTTTCAAACCTCACACTACACACATCAACATATAAACATGTACCATCACTGTAACCTGTGTTACTATTAGCAATGTCTTGCAAGAAAGAAAGGAATCAGTACCCTTTTGGCAGACAAAATAACATCAAATTTGTACACGTGTGTGTACATACGTATGGATGAATGTATAACTCACCTGTGCACAATTCTGTAACAAGAAGATATTCACCACAACCATGGCCTGATTTTGATCTGTCAATATAAGCTGCAGCAAGGTACTGGATAATATTAGGATGCCCTGACAATTTCCTCTATGGAACGTAAGTTAAAGAAGCAAATCCATGTATGAAGTCCTCACTAATAAAACTCAGATTAAAACATGCAAGTTGATTTATTATTTAACATACTTCTATTCCACAATTAATTACTAACAAAATAATTACGTCAGCGACATTTATGTGATGACAACACAGGGGAAAATTGTCACGATCCATTTTAGGTTTTAGGGTGCCTGTAGCACCAATCTGGAAGAACCAATAAAAAATTACAGAAAATTTAATCAGGTTAGCTTCCTGTAATTGCATTTAAGTACTTCCTGACTGTAGCAAGTTAATACACAGTGATAACACACAGTTATTGTTTTCATTTGGTTTATTTAATGACACATTATCTAATGCACAAGTTATGAATCACCAAATAACAGAATGAATAAGAATGGCGGATGGTGAAGGATATTGTAACCTAACCCATCATATGGAATAGGCTGTTTAAGCCATACCATGGGGCGGGCCGGCAGGGTTAACAGTTTAGTGATATGCTACGGTGAAGCACGACCAGACGGATCACACATACGCCATGATATTTAAACTATAAGTAAAAAGTAAAGGTGTCCTGCTATACGCCATGTAGGTGCTTGGGGGGAGAGGCAGTAAATCTCCTACTCATTCTTGACCTCGGTCGGCACTAGATAGGAGTGAGTGGTCAGCGTCACTCCCCGGCCACACTTTACCCCCGGGAAAGGACCCCAGCACCCATTGATTAGGAGGCTGGGTGGGAGCCAGTACCCATCTGGAAGCAGAGGCTAAAGGAAATATCCTCTGCCCCCATTAGGGATGAAACCCTAGTTGCTGACTCAGCTAACCTGGTTTTATTTTTTTTATTTGTAGTGTTCTGTCTGACGACAGGTCCATATATTATGAACAGGATCCTTCCAACCTCTTCAGGTTGTCAGGGACCTGCTCATACATATATACATTCTTGGCAGAGATGATCAGAAGTGGTTTGCCATTGCCTTCTTCTGTGTGTGAGTGGAGTAATTGTTGGGATGCCACGGAGAAACCGGGGAAGCCCCCGCAGGAAAACTCCGTGATGCCTAGACCACGGCCTTGCCCAACACAAGTTATAAATTTGAGCACCACCGGGAATTGAACCTGGGACCCCAGGCTTACAAGGCTAGTGTTCTGACCACTAGACCACCGTGGCAGGCTTCTAACCTGGTTATGGACTATAAAACAGTAACTATACGTGTGTGTCTTGAAGGAAGGGCCATGAAAAACTATAAAAAAACATAAGGATGGCCAGCCAAGAGACAAAACTGACTTTTGATTTTCACGTAATATGTGGTGTTTTTGTTAACATGGTTAAAACAATCTGATATATAAGATCAGCAAAAACCAGAAGATACAAAGGATGTACAGACAGATGATGTGATGTTGAAGCATGCAGAGCAAATCAATCTGTACTGATGGGTTAAGAGACTGAGGACCCATTGTTTAATTTTGTGCAAGATTTTGGCCATGTAGTCTGGTGCGACATCCCGGAAGACTGTCATCTTTATACCTGCCACCATGAAAATTTGAAATCTCACCTTTGAACGAGTTCACTTTCCTTTCACATACAATCATGTCTGGCTCTACCTGATCTTTGTCAATTGCAACAGACAGTAGTTAGCTAACTCCAGGACTCTGTCCTACAGCCACATCAAAAGAAACAAAACTACAAAGTGCAGATATCAATTACCTTGTCAGTGAAACTGAGGGACCATCCCCTGGTAACTGTTGACATGTGTAAGCCAAAAATATTCCAAAACTGTGTAGATGATTTTGACATGCTTTACAGGAATACTGTCCAAAAATGGATTATTTCTGATTGTGGCTTTACACAACTCATATACCCTCTGCTTTGTATAATCCTACACATTCAAATAGGCTATAAAATAGTTTTTAAAAGGATACAAGAATGTTGATTTCTTGTTTAATTATGTTGTTAGCATCTTCATCTGCTGCAATCAACCTCTGAAATAAAAGATTTTTAAGATCACAGATATTTCAATTAACACTTTAATAATTAACTGTAAATATTGATGTTACATATGGCATCTAATATTCAAACAGCTATCATTTCTTTTAATTTCTACAGCCCTGATGGCACATAAACTTCTCTTCTACTTAAACAACTAAACAATTTCGCTCCCTTCAAACATTATCCATTTTTTGTTGTTGCAAAGGAAGTCAAGCTTGTGGCATTAGCTTGTTTCTGTTTGGCCAGATGTCCTCCCTAAAACACTTCTGAGTACATGAAATTAAGTTAAAGAAATTCTAGGATGGTCAAACAACTGAAGAACACTTCAGTGCCATCTATATTTGCTTCCTTTCCTCCAACAACTTGGTAAAGAGTAAAGCTGTTCCACTATACACCATGTAGGCACTTGGGGAAAGAGGAGGTATAGCTCCTACTCATTCTTAACCTCGGCACTAGGTGGGAGTGAGTGGTTAGTGTCATGCCCCGGCCACACTTTACCCCCGGGAAAGGACCCCAGCACCTGTTGGATAGGAGGTTGGGTGGGAGCCAGAACCCATCCGGATGCAGAGGCTAGAGAACATCCTCTGCCCCGGTCAAGGATCAAACCCCAGTCGTCCAGTCCGTAGCCAGTCACTGGAAGCAGCAGAAATTCTGAGTTGCCTCAAAGGGATGTAGAAAAAATGTTGTTTAATATATGTTAATAAGAAAATCAGTTTCTGTTTAGATCATTTTTGCGTAGACAATGAAAGTATGGGCTCTGAAAGATAAACTTGCCTGAAGTCTGTTAATTACTGGGGATGCATTCAGAGAGACAGATACAAAATTACTGGTCATTAGACGGCTCACATGCCTTCAGTATCTTCAGAATTACCCAGAGCTACATTAAATTATCATTCAAATTTAGTACATTCATATTTTCACATTAGTATTCATATTGCTGTCATATTATTATAACAATATCTTCACTACGAGAGCGCTTGGCCAAGTCACTCAGATGTGTGCACGCATGTTGTGCGTTACTTCCAGCAGTTTCTTGTGCTGGCTGTGAGTTGCATGAACATGTTTCTACAGCACTAGTCACAATGGTGCATTTTTGCTGGTAGGTTGATCAGTCAGCCAGTCACAACATCACTGTTGACTGAGCTGGTCAGTGGTAGTGATGGAGCTAGGAGAGTGACTACAGCAAGGAACCTGTGTTCAGACTGCAACGCACATGTGTATCAGACTTCAAGGGGAGAACAATTAACACTACTGTGGGAGCTAGACAGAAGATTGAACAAGCAAGATAACTGTGAAGAGCTGCAAGAACATAATTATTTGTAATTATCATGAGACTAATAAATCCAAAGAACCAAGTAAGTTAAATACTGATTTCTGTTACAAACTGCCATGTACACGTACCACAACCCACATAAAATGCTGAAACCTTCTTAATTGGTTGTCAACAGGTGAATGAGGTGCCCTTGACAGTTACCTACAAATCATACAGGATGATAACATCTGCACTGAAGCTCATAAAAATAAATGTGAGAGCGTTTTGGTGGGAAAACCTAAACGATGCTCTGTCTGTTTTTACTAGCATATGATAACTATGCTACAATTGAGGCTGTCATCTTCACCAGAGCTAGCTTTACCACAGTTCCAAACAATTCTTCAAAGTTAACATGGAAATGTCAAGAATTATATTCCTGCTTTACCGCAGACTGTCTGGTAGTTCCCTGTGTCTGATACTAAACTGCTACCAACATAAGAGCAAGATTAAATTTCAGGCAATAAACAGGCCTTGGAGTAACATGAAAAGATCAAATGACAGAACAGGTATGTGCTTAAGAGATTAAGGATACTGCAAACTACAAGTTTAGACTCGAAGAACAAACTTTAGACTTTCCTTGCTAACCACAACCTGATCCCGTGCAATCAGCAGCCAAGATTACATTTGGTAGGCCTGTCCAAACCAAAGTACCTGATGCAAGCCAACAAATCTTACCAGAAAGATGAAGAGTTTAGCAATACAGAATGCTGGAGGAAATACATGAAGAGGGTGTGTGAAGATGGGAAAATGTATGCCAAGAGCAGCCAGGTTCAAGTTGGAGAAAAGGTAATGTGCAAAAGTAAGCAAGCAAGCTTAACTTTTAAGTAGGTCACCTGGTTCCTTAAAAGGTAAGAAAACTAACAAAATAAATATGACCTACATATGCTGAATGTTAAAATTAAAAGTTTAAATCATTATATACAAATACTTAACGTTTATGCCACTCCTATTGTGTCGAAGAATTTATTTCAATTAAAAGTTCTAAAAGTTTATGAACATATTACATTTACTCTGATCTGTATAATATCCTTATAATTTGTACATAAATATCTGTAACAATCAACTACATATTATTATATATATTACATGTATATGACATGTTCTACATCCTTGGCTTGATCATATGAAGGGTCTACAGACAGCAAACAAATTTTAGTTACATTTTGAATCTGTATATATATTCGTAAAATGTTCTTATGAATATAAATTCTTGACTATAATAACCCAATGCAAATATATTACTACTGTTCACCCAGTCTTCAAAAAATTACATTATGTTAGAATGTTCAGTGTTGGAGTACCAATTATTTTTTTTATGTATCTCATCACTAACCTTCAGAGCATAATCTTTCCCTGTATTCGGATCCTGAGCCATAAACACAAACGCAAATCCACCTGCAACAGTATCAACCATACGAATCCTTTAGAGCTGGCAATAAGAAAAAGAAAATTTGACAGTGTTGATGTGATGCAGTGTCACAGTGGAGATAAAGATGCTGTAGTATGAAATAAAATACAGCAATACACAAAAATGCAACATTAATACAAGACATGCACTCAAATTACTCAAATACACTGAATGCAAGAAATTAATTAATATATGTTGCAAATGTCAAAGGCAATATTGACCCTCAACCCTTACCTTCAGCGATTACTTTCTTCACCCTTAATTTTACGTTTCCTACTTCAACAGTTTGACCTATCAACTCATTTTCAGCACCAGATGTGTTACCGCTACTAAAGTACCCTATTGCGGACTTAAACAGATCAGACATGTTTAAGAAATAGATGTTTTTATCACAGCAACATCACACAAAATTTACGACTTTTCAACCCCATTGAGTTGAAGCCCCCGAACTTCCGGTCAAAGAGCATTCTGGTCATTGGGAATAGTCTGTGATAAAAGGAAATACTAGCTGTTGGTAACGTGGTAAATAATCCCATGGTGTAATGTGTCGCATGTTGGTGTGCTTTGGCGAGGATTGACTCGTGTAGTGTTGTGGTTATGAGTAATTTCTATTTCTATTAAAAGTTCGATGTTATAAAGAAGCATGGCCAAACTATGTCTCAGTAAGGTTACAATAATTTTGAGTTGCATTATATTCGATTGATTATTCTGTTGAGGAATTTATACAGTTTAGAAGGGGCTCATAAGCATTTTAGAGGTTATTGCCAACACCTCTGTGTATGGATGGATTTAGTGTAATATCTTAATATTTTTGTATTAAACCTTTATCGTCTGTGAAACTTAATTAATATTTTAAATTGTACTCATTTTAATGCTTTGTACTTTTGAGTTATTCCACATCGTATAGTCAGTATAACTTTTGGATGAATGGAATGTAAAAGTAAAGTAAAGTTTGGCCCACTATACGCCATGTAGGCGTTTGGGGGGAGAGGAGGTATAGCTCCTCTCTTCCTTGACCTCGGCACTAGATGGGGGTGAGTGGTCAGCATCACGCCCCGGCCGGCTTTACCCCCGGGAAAGGACCCCGGTACCCATTGGACAGGAGGCTGGGTGGGCCCCAGAGCCGGTCTGGACGCAGAGGCTAGAGGAAAAATCCTCTGCCCCCGTCGGGGATCGAACCCCGGTCGTCCAGCCCGTAGCTAGTCACTATACTGACTGAGCTATCCCGGCTCTTGAATGGAATGTATGTATCATATTTATTGTGTATGGACTGCTGATGCCATGAAGTAACGAAAAATAAGGCCGGTAACTGCGATTTCGTGAACGAAAGTAATATATCCAATGTTGCTCTGGATGTTAACTGTTGGACACAAGTCAGTAATTAAATGGGGAAAACTTGAGTAACGTACAAGTGCATAATGGTGAATAATCGTGTTACATACAGATTATTTATATTTTATTTTGCAAGGCGAAGAATTTATTACTTAATTACACATTCCAACTAGTTAAATTTAACAGAACACAAAGTCTCGGGGTAAATAAGTGATTAAATTACAGACTTATCTTGATTAAAGTCTTTACAGTATGCTTTTTGAGTTTTATAATGTCTTAATTAAAACTCTAGACCATCTGTAATATGAATTCTGATTTGGATTTCAGATGTTCTACAGTTTGAATTAAGATGTTGTAGTATGAAGCCACATGAAATAAAAGAATATAAAATTTTATGAGTTCTGCCTGGAATTCCTTGTTTAGGTTTCTTGTACCTTGACATGTTCCATGACCTAGTGATTGGGATCAGTGAAATGCATATAGTCTGTGAGCACATATTGGATTCTTAATCTTTTGTAGTAGTGACATGCATGTTGTTTTTGTTGGTTCATGATTGAAATGAATTTAAAATGTGGCAATATGAAACCCATTTATTTGGGAAGAGCACTAACAGTGAAATTAACCGGAGGTTATTGCACAGACTGCAAGAGCATGTGTTCATTTGAGACGATATCTAATTTGTTGGCAGTATTTTCATGTGTGACTAATAACTATAACATAGGCCTATGTTAAGTTTCATGTTTTGATATCTGGCGATATAGATTGTATATCATCAAAATATGAATCAATAGTGACTGGTTTTAAATATGAAATTCAATATTCTACGCTTTAATATACTACAGAAATCTAAATTAAAGTTAAATTCTTGATTTCCAGAGAAGACGAGTAAGAGGATATCATGTCGTACACGTTATAAGATTGAGAAGAAAGTGCGAGAACACAACAGGAAAGTGAAGCGTGAAAAGAGGAAGAACCCAGGAAAAAGTAAGATTAAAATAACCTGTGATTAGTTTGCAATATCTGGCCACATATGATTGTGATCTGAAACTCCTATTCTGTTTATTTCTTCAAGAATTGTGAAAATGTGAAGGATTGTATGAAACAAGATTTTGTGTGTGCTATGAATGAAGTTTCTATGTTACAACAATAAACAATACCTGTAATTTATAAGCCTGGGTTACCAACTCCACTGCCAAATATTCATGTGTCATGCTGAAACTTAAGAATTGGAATCATGCAGTTGCAACAGTATGCCCCCATCAGAAGTGTGGGGTGTGTGACTTCATGATTAAATAGATTAAGAGTCAGGAGGATGTGTGTTTTATAGCACACCATTGCACAAGTCACTGGTAGCATGGTGTTCTGGCTTTTCAGATAAAAAGAAGAAGCTGATACAAGTACCAAATATTTGCCCATTCAAAGAAGATATTCTGAAAGAAGTAGAAGCTCTGAGAAAACAAAAAGAAGAAGCTAAGCAAAAACAGAAAGAGGTCTGGAGGGAGGAGAAAAAGAAAGCAAAAGAAGGAAAACCAAAAGGAGCTGAAAAAGGTTTAGAGAGTTTGATAGAAGATGCTGAAAAGCGTCACATACTACATGAGAACATCAGCGCCAGCGATGCATCTAGCT